GACAACAAAAAACTGACTTGGCAGTTTCACCCAAATAGCGGCATTCCAACAAACATTTCTCAGTCAAATTCTAGGCCTAGCATTTCGGGCAAAGCCCTGAATTCTATAAAAACAACAGAGAAAAGGGGAACTAACTACCAAACATTCTCCAAGACCCCGAGACTAGGTTCCAAACCTAGTGCAAAATGAGCTCTTTTAACCTAACTTTAGAAAATGTGAAAAACTCACCCATCAAGGTGCCGGTGGCACGATTAATTCACACCATGGTCGACAATAATATCCTCTTGAAGAAATGAAAGTAAAACCACATGTAAAACATGCCACAAAATAGAGATGAAAAAGGATAACAAAATATGCCGACCAAAGTCGGGAACAGCCACAGAACCTATGAATGACACTTGGCGGTGGGAGTAATAAGAACAAAACCCACAGCCTTGTTCGGGGTCGTGGGAAGTAACAAAACGACACATTAAACTAGCCTACTATACAAAAAACACTTTGACCATTGAATATGAGTCGTGACATTCGCCGGTGGAATTAGTCACGGCTCATTAAGTTGACCCCTGGACTAAAATGTCGTCGAAAAAACATTGTACGCCATCCATACCTTGTAGTAAGGAATCCATGAATTTTTGCCACAGTGATGGAGCAACCTTAACCCCAAACATCAGTCTATTTACTTTGAACAACCCCTTATGAGTACTTAGTGTTTGCATTTTGCTACTCTCTTAATCCATTTTCATATGTAAATAAGCATTGCTTATATCAAGAGAACAAAAGTATTTGCCTCCACTCATTGTAGAAAAAATGTCTTCAATCATCGGAATTGGGTATTTCTCGTCTTTCACCACTTTGTTCAAAGTAACTTTAAAATCAGCGCAGATACGAATGTCACTATGGGTTTTATGACAGGCACAATAGGCGTTCCCCATTCCGAGTTGTCTACCTTAGTGATAATCTTTTGGGTTTCCAGACGGCTGAGTTCATTTTCAACTTTTGTCCTTATGGCATATGGAACCTGTCTGGCCCTTATGTATAATAGGTCTTGAGTTGTCCTTCAAGTTTTACTTCAAAGTTTGGAATAGACCCTATGTTTTGTCAAATAAACCTTCATATTTTGCAAGTAATGAATCCAGCTCTGGCTTCCTTGTTTCATTCATGTTTATAGATTTTATTTCTCCCCAGTCTAGTTTGATTTCTCTCATCCATTCACGCCCATAAATCCTATCAACATGTTGATTAATGACAAAGATTTTTCCTATGAAACACTGTCCCTTATAATCACATTTTACGTATGTTACCCCCTTAGGTCAAAACTTTTACACTTTTACATGCCTTGACACCTCTTCTACATCAGAAACTATACGACCTATGTACACCAGACCATCACAATTCTATTAGTGTTAGTATGTTACTGAATCATATAAACAATAATAAATAAGAACAGATGTTTATGAACAACTTATAGCAAGTAGTTTTGGAATGTACACATCATACACAGACACAGATAGTCTTGTACATGTATACAGAAGGCTTTGTGTTAGTAAAAAAATATCAGAAAAAATCGGATCCATCAAAACCGGATCCAGCCCAAGATCCGGATTTCTTTGGATCCGATCGGGCGCCGGTTCTAGCTCTGATCCGGTAGTCCGATATCCGGATCCGACCATCACTAGTTCTTCCCTTTGATCTCCGATCGATAGGCCAAGACCTTGTAGGGCTGGGCACATAAATTGCCATTAGCTGTATGGGCTCTTAATTAACAGCTGTGTCTAAGGAATGTCGGCCTTAGTCACTAACAAGACTACAAGATCGCGCCACTCATCCTACACTCATCTCCATTCATACTTGGCTTAAAATGCCTACATTGTATGGTCGCCATTTCATAGAACAGTTTTAACAGTAAATATCACGTGGAAGGCTGTCTCCCCCTCCTCCTCACCACATTTTCTACATAAGAGGCTTTTAACTTGAATTCCCATCTTGAGTAGATGTGAATACCCAGTGGCCGGTGATGAAGCCAAAAACTTTCCGCAGAGTCTTCCTATTCAGCCCAAGGTCATCTGCCACTATCGAACTGGTAGGTGTCTGCAGCATTCTCCTTTACTGTATGTTACCTTCTGTTTTTTCCCAGCTCCTTCGATGTTCTATGCCCATCCACTGGCGAACGGCTCTCCGTGCTGTGTTGTAAATGATACCACACGCTGGCTCTGGACCCATGAGCTGGCTTTCAGCTCCTTTATTTGCCCACTTGTCAGCTCCCTCATTGCCAGCAATACCTTTGTGCCCTAGAACCCAACTAAGGGTATCCTTGTTCTCTCCCAGTGCTTTCATGGCCGGATGACAGTCCCATACTGCCTTAGAGGTAAATTCAAAACTGTCAAGTGCCATTAGCGCTGCTGTGCTGTCCGAGTTCATGTATATGGTGTGGCCTGTCAGACATTCTCTCTTAGAATTCTCAGTAACTAGTGTACCTGTTGCTCGAATTCGAGCAATTGCGAAGCATTACAGGCGACTCAAAGATTATGGAAATATTCAACGAACTATACAACAGTTAGATATAATCAAAATCTTTTGTAAATATCTTATCTTTTTTCAAAAAGCTGATCTTGTTTTTTTAGTGTTTTCTACTAATTTTTCCCTCACATAGCCGCATAAGGTTGTCTATAATAACGATTATAAATGAAAAAAGAAAAAACCCCCGCCACAGCAAACCTGCAGACTAAGCGAATTTCCATCTACACATCTGGAATTCCACTAAATTATTCCCTTAAAATTGTCAGATTTATTTCCTATTTAAATATCATTAATATTAATGAGTACTTAGGTTTGCTGCTACAGGGAAGAAAATAGGGGGTTTTTATTGAAATATTAATAGCTTAGTATGAAGTAAACAAAATTTCATTAAAATATGTCCAAAGACAAGCAAGCTACACCACTGTATTTATTCTCCATAAGAATAACATGGTAATTTTAAATTTACACTATTTTGCGATTTTTCCGTAACCGTTAGGCATGCAACAATGCTTCAATATACTAAATTTTTTTTTTTTGAGCTCTACAAAATGGTTTAGAAAGAAATTGCAAAATTTTATGTTTTCAGGGTGAAAAATTAGAAAAACCCATTTTTACCCCATAAAACCATGCTGGTTCGCGAACTCTTTCAAATAAATGTAGGTTTATACCAAATTTCATCAAAATCGGATAATTTTTGCTCGAGTTATCGCGCTAACGGACACATATATAAATAAATATATATACATATGATTTTGAACGGATGGTGTTTTTGGCCTCTGGGGACCTCAAAACGAAAAACTAAATCGGTCCCGGGTCCAGGTCTTACCATGAGACCTACGGTAATAGCTTATTCCCTATATGGGAAATTCGCTAAAAAAACATTATTTCTATTTCTTCTGCTTGGTTGTGTTCTATGACCTTTCCTGTGTTTCCATTGTTTGCAAATCGGTTATTTCAATGATTGCTCAAGAAATGTAGCACAGTGTTAATTCAGTTTTATTTTTAGCCTATATCAAATTGTCCAGGATTTCTCGCTCTTTTCCATTGTAATAATTACACCAACCCAAGTTTCATCTATGGATGCAATATGCCAGAGAATATCACCTATTGGATACAGACATTAATCTCCAAGAAGTGGTAAAAAAGGCAGAAACGAACCCATACAATAGATATAAGTTAACTCCATAAGAAATAATTTTAAGAGTTACTGTGATAACTTAAGATTTTCCACTGATTTGGTAATAGAACATTATATTGCAAAACATGATACGATGCAGAAGGAAATCAATTTTAATATCAGAAAAACCCATTGCAAATACTGTACTTATTTTGACAAATTCAATAAGTCACAGCTGTTTCATTAAAAAATAGTGTAGAACTAGGCATATGGTCGTAATGTAAACAAATCTGAAGAGGCAACTTTAAAGGATTCTGGGGCAGAACCCCAAGGTAATTTACCTCGTTCTTCTTTTGATGGCTCATCTACATACCAAGACCTTTCTTTAGAGACCCCTACCAAGTTTCTACGCCCAGCCGTTCTCTCAAATTAGCTGTGACAAAAACCCCGTTTTCCTCCATAAGAATAACATGGGATGGGAAAGGCCACTGGAGCAGAGCCCCAAGGGAATTGACCATGTTATCTTTTGATGGCTCATCTACAGACCAAGACCTTTCTTTAGACACCTCTACCGAGTTTCTACGCCCAGCCGTTCTCTCAAATTAGCTGTGACAAAGAAAAACAGTTTCAAATTAATATATAGATTCCTATAGCCTGGAGCATTGTAAACACTGTTCATCCAAGCTGAAATCCTTACTGTTGTAAACATTTATATATATTAGAAGTACTACACCATGTTAAAATGAGTTTAAGTGATTACCGCCCTAGAAGATTGATACATAGCCACAACACTCGAAATAATAATAAGTTGGACCTTCAAAGATGTGAACTCTCAAAAACCATGAATTACCATGGGATTAAATGTGTTCAATAATCAATAAGCTACTGAATGTCCGGAAAAACTTGCCTTTCGCTGTTTTTTGTAAAAAGCTCCAAAAGTGGCTTTTGAACAATCCTTTTTACAATGTTATAAAATATTTCCTTACTACCCCACTTGAAACTGATTTTATGTATCTTTTGAGCTAAATGTTGTATATAGTATTGTAAATGATCTTTTTATGTAAGCCTACATGTCATTTGTGTAGTCCTAAAAATTGTACATATACTGGTAGGTATTTTCGACTTATAAATGTTATTTCTTTTGACGATAACCATTGGGAATTTGTAATTTGTTGAACGACTGAATAAATGCCTTATTAATGTGAATATACACCATTTAAAATGTACTTAATCTCGCTCACAAAATAATGTATGATGGAGGAATTTCCCATCGCTTCACTACCAATATCATATTTTCATTATTAGTTCTTATGAATCTGAAATTGAAATAAACTCAACAAATTTTATCTTTAAAATGTAATTGCAGATGGTAGTTTGATGTATGAGAGAGTGCCAAACAAACCTGAAGCCGAGAAAGCTGCCATGAATAACTTGTCACCATCACTCAAAAGGAGAGCATTTGAAGATATGAATGGCATGGATGGTAAGCCTTTTGCTAACTAATATAGTAAGGTATAAATCCACTGTCACCTGCCTACTATAAATAACTTAAGTGAATCTACTACCTAGCTTAATCATCCTAAGTATTAAAACGTGACAGGGTTTTTTTATTTCACGATTCTGAATCAACCACTTGACGGATTTTCATGATTTTTGTGTTGAAAGAAAGATAATTTTAAAAACTAGGGAATGTCGAAGCCATAATTTTAGTTTAGGGTTACAGTTTTTTAGAAATTCAGTTTTAATTTTCAAAAAGTCTAGCAGCCGACGGACGAGTTTTAAGTCGTTTTAGTGGTGGTTTAACTAACAGCTGGTTTCTAACTGTCATTGAAATGTTATGTTACAAGTTGTTTGTGTACAAAAATATTGATAGAGTTTGACTACACACTATTTCACTTTAAAATGTAGTTTCTTTCCTACCGTAAAGATCTATGTTTTGTGTAATTTTGAACTAAACATTTTAAACGTATAATCGAGTTTTGTCATAAATACTGTATGATTCAGAAACTTGATAAAGGGGTACATTCCAAAAGTAGACCAAAAGGCTCGGATTTCGGATGGGCTGGGCAGGCTTTGCATGGCGGGGAGAAGATACTGGCTTTGCATGGCGGGGAGAAGATACTTCAACTTTTAAAAGTGTATTAAAAGGAGTACTACAAGGTAGACGACCACTTGGGAGCAGAGCATATTTTAAGGGATTTCCACTAGGTGACAGTGGGGCCGGACTTACCCCACCGGTCTGGAATACCCATCAAAAAGGGGGGTCCGAGGTACCCCCCCTGGAAATTTGTGCATAAATTAAAGTAAAAATCGCACATTTCTACGATCTTTTAACAAATTTTTTGATTATATTTACTTGTAAATAGTCCATATAATCTCACTTAATTACGTATTCTAGAACGTTGTAACAGGCCAAGGCTCCCTTCACAACCTCTTGGGTCAAATTCATAGCTCAACACTCTAAAATATTTACATAATGTTATTTGTTTAATTCCAATACATTTAAAATGTGAATCGTTAAAAAAAATATGCCGGCACCACCCATAGTCACTGGGCGACAAAATCTCAGCACTGGGCGACACAAATGTCGCCCAGTTAACATGTTATTTTATGCCCTGCTTGGGAGACCAAGTAATGAAAGACATCCTCAGACTGGTATCTTCCTTAGAAATGGCAGGGGATAGATGAGAACGGGAGGCCAGGATCATTTGAGAGGTTTCAGTGGTCAAGGTGGTAAAATAAGGTATGTTAAGTTATAGTATGCAGTGGAAGGTGGTATGTAGCCAAGGCGTATTACGCCTTGGTTTGTAGCTACTGTACTCAAAGCCAGTGTGTGTGAATCGGCCACCAAGCTGTAAACTAGCTGTTCTGAATCATATTCAGTTTTAATTGACTACTCGATTCCCGTACGTAGGACGGGCCAACCGCTCGTATTTATTAAAACATGACAGGGTTTTTTTATTTCACAATTCTGAAACAACCACTTGACGGATTTTCATGATTTTTGTGTTGAAAGAAAGATAATTTTAAGAACTAGGGAATGTCGAAGCCATAATTATAGTTTAGGCTTTCAGTTTTTTAGAAATTAAATTTTAAATATCTAAAAGACTAGCAGCTGACGCTAACATTCTACTCTAGCTTTTCGTATAATACAATTTGCTTAACGTAGGCCCTAACAGCTGTAAACATTCAGCGTTTTCGACACAAATTCAGCATTTGGATGAAAATGAAATGTAGGGGTGGGCGAGTAGTGATTTTTCAATTCGAGTCGAGTCCGATTCGAGTAGAGTATTTGAGTAAAAACTCGAGTATCGAGTCGAATCGAGTAGTTGCGCGTTAAGTAGGCCTAGACCCAGGGTTTAAGCTGCGGTAGTATTTTTAGCATCTTGCTATTCACAACTTAAAAATGCTAAGTTTACATTGTTTTACAGGCTAGGCCTATGGCAAATTTTCTACAAATAAAATTGAAAGATGTAATGTTCAAACAAATGTAATATTTTAGTCTACTGGAATTTTTTGTTTTAAATGCTTAAGTTATTGAATAATATTTTTTCTACAGTTAACTTAGTTTTTGTCTTTGCAGAGAGTTTGCAGCATTTTGCTGAAAAAAATTTAATCCTAGCCTTAACCCTGCCTAGGCCTAAATATAGGTAGTTTGAGTACTTATACCAAATTTGCTAAGTTATATGGTTACTATTAGTACCTCCTACCTTAGGCCTAATAAAAAGTTTGGCCTAGACTACTTTTTGGCTGCAGCATTAAATTATTTAGGCCTACACATCACTTGTTCTTGTGTGTTTTATTTTTTCTTGCCTTTAATTCCCCTCACTAACATGATAATCAACCTAACTAACTAACTTAATAAGGTAACTTTAAGAATAATTTCAATTCAAATAAGAAACAGAATTTATAAAAATAAATTTATTTATAAAACAGAAAACTAATATCAAACTACATATTGTATCAAAAGTTAAAAACATCAATATGCAATTAGTTATTTAAAAATAATCACTTAGATAAGCACTTCATCTGTCTTAAGTTTGAAGGTTATGGGTACTAGGGCTATCCTCTTCACTCAGTACATTTATAAAAATGATCAAGTCACTCGTCTCTGACAGACTGAAAATGTCAAACAAATCATAGTAGGACTATTACCTCGAAATAAAATCCCACATTAAACACCTAATTTAAAATAAAACACATTTCACTGTAGCCCGGTATAGCCTATTTGGCCTTTCTTTATAATCTCACATTTTCTAGGTTAAGTTACAATTCAAATTGTCGTTGTCATGTTTCTGCCACCAGATTGAAAATTGCACAATCAAAATCACAAACAGAATATGTTTATTTTACTTTCTATTAAACTTCCACTAACAAAATCAATTTTATTTTAAGTTACAAATTCACTTCAAAGTAAAAACATTCAAAACTGACATTGACATCAATCCATTGTTTTGTTGTACGCCAGCGGCCAGCTGTCACCATATCTGCTCGCTCTCTCTCTCTCTCTCTCTCTCTCTCTCTCTCTCTCTCTCTCTCTCTCTCTTAGTCAGTCTGCTCATTCTGCTTCTGCTTTGTTTTCCCATCAAACAGCTGTTTTGTATGGCTGACGTTGCCATATTTATCATTACACCATTATGGTGAATGTCAGTAAAATTATCATGATATTTCTATAGCTTTTATTTCGTAAAAAAAGTTAATAGTTTGACTAATTTTAATCATGTCATTTAAACTGATTAGAAAATAAATTATACTTATAGTTTGTTTACGCCAATACCACAGTTGTAAAAGTATAACAATTATCGTCCTTCTGGCAACACTGAGTTTAAAGTGGAACTGATCTTTTCTTTCTGCCAAGACCCAATGAGATTGCGTCATTCAGATGCATCGGTGTTCCTTACAGTAACTTATCGGTTTGTAAAACTAAACACCAATACCGATTAATGTGAAAAAATATTATGCTACAACAGGTTATTTTTATTTGTTTTATTTCTATATTTTGGTATAACATATTTTTATGGCAGTTCAAACTAAATCTGATACTGTACTTTATAATATCTTCAAGAATCGTCTGCCATTGTTATACTAGTCACGGGACTCCCTTGTCTATTGCTATTGCAATTCGATAGATTCATTCAATGCTTTATTTCAACTTACTGTATCGTTATCGAGACGTATTGTTGTCTGTTGTAGGAAAGTGAAAGTCTTAAGTAGTCCTCTTGCTAGCTCTGCCGAATGACGATGGTTGTTTGTTGAACATTTGGTTTACGCTGGTCTAACCTATATGAGGTTAGATAGTTGTTTTTTGTAGGAATGGGGATTAAATAAGGCATCAACACAAAACAAAATATAATTTATTAAATATGGGTGTAGAAAATCGTGAAGTGGCACTATTTATAACTACTCGACTCGAATTTTCGAGTAGTAATTACTACTCGACTCGAGGTCGAGTATTTGAAAAATCTCGAGTAATTACTCGAAGGTCGAGTACTCGCCCACCCTTAATGAAATGACATACTTATAATTGACTTATTTATACTATGCGTAATGCTATAATCATTGATACAGTAGACTCCCTCTTATCTGGACACCTTTTAGCCGGACATCAGTTTAACCGGAATACACTCGGCAGAAATTACATCTCTTTAACCGGAAAATTTGTATCAGCACATCGATTTAACCAGACTAGATCGGCAATGTGGGCGGTACTGAAACAACCATTCTCGTGGGAAAGATTTGAGACCAGTGATCACATGTCTAAATACAATGCTCTTCTACATTTAAGTCAAATACGCATTAAAAACCATCGGTTTTTACAAGTTTTTGGGGACGCCGGTTTAACAGGATAAACCGTTATCCGGACTGGCCTCTGTCCCGAGGAGCCCAGATAAGAGGGAGTCTACTGAACGTTCATTTATTCAGTAAGAGGATGATTGTTTATTTAAATATACATTGTAAAATACTAGATGTTGTAATTTATTTTTTTGAGCAGTCTTTAAAATATTTAGTTTGTTTTAGAGCAATATAATTTGTTATAACTAACAGCTGGTTGAATAAAACAATATTCTATAGAACTATGAGGTTAGTTTATTTACTCTGTGATTTTGTCATTGATTATAGGAAATAAGTAAGATTCTATAACCATTGCTGTATACGAATCAAAGCTTATGAATCTTCAAAAGAAAGCTTATGAACATTATTTTACTACTAAAATTTTTGAGGAAAGGTTGGGAAAATAACAATTATAACATGTTTTAATTCATCTTGGCAGCGTTTTCTTTACTATAAATTTTGAACTGCTTAAACTATGCTTAAATTAGTAATACAGTAGACTCCCTCTCGTTCGGCCATCTCGGGACCGAACCACCGTCCGAACTAAAAAATGGCCGAACTAACCGATGATATATAAAGAAGACTACTTTTTCTGCCGTAAATGGACTTACTGTACAGTATAAGGGATCTATACACTAAACTAAACCTAAT